ATATTAAACTAGGGCTGATGAAACAATTTGTAAAGGCCCTAGACCAGAATCGTCCTTGTTTTGAATACTTGTCCAGCAAATTCCCTGCACTTAGTAAAGAAAAATTGAAAGCCATAATATTTGATGAGCCTCAGATACGACAACTTATAAAAGATTCGCATTTTACAGAATCGATGAATGAAATTGTGTGTAATGCATGGTGCTCTTTTGTGAAAGTTGTGAAAAATTTTTTCGGAAACAGTAAATCGGAAAATCACCGGGATTTAGTGGAAGAAATGCTCAACAATTTCAACAAATACGGTTGTCATATGAGTATTGAAATTCACAGCCACTTAGACCGTGTCCCGGAAAATCTTGGTGACCTAAGTGAGGAACAAGGGGAACGCTTTCACCAAGATATCAAAACGATGGAAGAGAGGTACCAGGGAAGATGGGACACTCACATGATGGCGGATTACTGCTGGAGTCTTCAAAGGGACCGTCCTTTCGAAGCCTTTGCAAAAAAAGCATATAAAAGGAAATTTTGAGGTGACGTCGAATAACAGATTTGTGCTGCGATGCTGGTTAGGTTACATGAAAAGTTGAGTGTTTTTGGCAGATATGTGAGATGATTTTTGTAAGTATATTGTTGTACAATGAATATCTTACTTTTCATCCGAGTTTCGTTCATTTGATGGGTAGCAGCACTACATATATGTAGGTAGTGCTGCGTTAAATTACCCTATATATTAGAAGTGTGATCTGTTGTCGTATTTTCTGAAAACGATCTGATGAAGCAAATCTGGTAGCATTTTTAGATTCAGCAGACCCAAATTACCTAGGAACAGTACAAAAATGTCGGCAGCAAACTGTATGTTTACCAGTGTTATCAAAGTGTGTACAGTTTTCTGGTTCGGAACATTGTTCCAAGCTTTTAAGACGCAGCCTTTACAATTCCAGCACCATGATTGTACCTAGACAGATTGGTGTCCATTTCAAACCCCAACAAACTTATAGAAGCAGAAAGCGGTATTGTCTGCCCGGGCATTATTATATTCGGTTCGAAGACATTGGTCTTCCTGAAGAAACCTGATCCCTGGGTTTTCGTGATATTGAGCATGTCAAATGACTCATAAAAAGAGGTTCCTTTTGACGGATCACATCACACTGAGGTATATTTTCCACACAAACTGTGTGGACAATGAATAGTGATCTCCAGAAGTATACTTAATACGAACACTCCGTATCATTCGAAGACCAATTACATATGGCAAACCACCTTTCAGCAGAAGGACATGAGTTCAATCATGTATACAATGTGTTACATTCAGAAGAGACAAGTTTGAAAGTCACTCTTCTAGAATGTTTAGAAATCAATAGATTCGAGAATTCCGGTAATTTACTGAATGATCAATTAGAATTGAATAACTCCCCGTTACCAAATATTTTTTCAAATGTGGAAACTGGTACATAAGCAGAGGTAATTTGATTCGTTACAAACACAGGTACACATGAAACTTCAAATGACTAGGTAAAACTCAGGTACTTGAAGTAAAGGTACTACAAATTGTAAAATTAGGCATTGAATATTTAGAATATAGTTGGTAAAAACACGGCCGAAGAAGAGCTCCGTCACGCTGGAACCCGCTTTGAAAAAAATCTAATTTTTTCTGCCCTATTTTACCTACAAACGATACTGATGAATGTAGTAATGTTCATTTTTTTGTAGTCTTATCGGGTACTGGGAAAACACTATTGACATCAATAATATCAATAGTGCTTTCTCAGTAACTGATGAGAATACCAAAAAATGAACTCTACTACATTCATCAGCATTGTTTGTAGTTACAATTTTGTTTTTGATTCACTACAAATGCACTTGAAAAATACTCGATTCCATTTCATTCATTTTTGATGTGTTTAATGGTAACTACAAACATCTAATTTCAGCCACAATCAACTTCATCGTTTGTAGTTTAAGGACTATTGTTATTTTATGATTTGTAGTCTTGTTATAGTAGCTCCTCTGCTATAGTTAAAAAAATTATAAAGTATAGTGATATTTTGTTGTTACTACAATAAACTACAATCCATTTAGTACTTCAGAACTTTTTGGCACATTATCACTCGTCCTTCGTAGTTAGAATAATATTAATGGTGCTTTCTCAGTAACTGATAAGACTACAGAAAATTAAACATTACTACATTTATTAGTATCGTTTGTAGGTGAAGTAGGCTAAAAAAAGTAGTTTTCGTTGAAAGCAAGTTACAGCGTGACGGAGTTGTCGAAGAAGCCATTATATGGCGAAAGACGTGTTGCGTTTTTGTTAAACTATTCAGTGAAAATCTCACAATAAATTATTTTTGAATACGTCAGTTATGGATTTTCATCAACTATCGGCTGATTCCACTATACACAATGAATATTTCCAAATATTGTCTAGATATTGAAACTGTGATTTCCACAAACGACAAAAACGAATCATACAACAAACTTGTCGATATAATATAAAGAAAGAGCATTTTGGTTTCATTTTTGAATACCTATTGTGTGTATATAATGAGTATAATATAATACCTACCTTCTCTCATTTCTACTATCCATGGAATATCTTTTCCGTGCGTCCAGCCATGTACTATTATCTTTGTTGGTAATTCCGTGTCAAATCTCGACAAAGCGATGGAACTCTCATTTCCTATGAAAATTTGATCATTTATAGAGAGGTCGTTCCTGAAAAATAATTCTGTAAATATGAGGACTTCATAAATTTTCATTATCGAAGATTAGAAGAGTATTGGCGTATGACCTATTTTTGCATTCCAGAACAAAAGAGGTATTGAATGAAGAGTTACAGAAATAAAAAACCAATCATCAAGTTATCTGACTTATTTCTGACTCTAATATCCAGTCTGATATTTTCCTGATTTATTTCACCTAGAAAAGTATATTCAACTGCACTTTTAGACTCCATTTAAGGAGAATTTATACTGAGATTTCATAATCTCTTTGTCGCTCACCTTAGATTCTTTCAGTTAATCTGTCACCGATAACATCGGTGCCATGTTATAAACATAAATTAACTCGAGATTTCAAAAAATTCGGTCACTCGCTAATTCTCGACGACATATAATCAACGAATGATAATATTTGGCTTCTAGTGCAGCAAGCTGAAATTTCACACTAGACTTTTATTTTATTCGAGCGTTGCGTTTCTCAGTGGAAGAAAATAAATCTTTTGATACCTCTAAAATTACACCCACATTTTATTTTCTGAAGACACCAACTTGGTTAGTGAAAAGCGCGCCGAGAAATGCAACACAGTTTGTGAAACCCACTACCACAAAATTTCAAGTTTTTATTTTGAATCGTACTCCATATATTTCTATCGAATGCTCGTCGTGAAATAACCTGTATTTCAGCTTCCTTCGTTTTCACCTGTATGAATATCGGCTGCTCTTGTCGACTTTGGGTTCAATGTTCATCATCCATGGATTATCACTTAAGGAGTCAAATATGTTATGTAGTCTGTGACTCGTTTGATGTCAGTATTATTTTCTTAGCTCTCAAGCAATATAAACGATACTTCAATAAGAACTATCACTTCTTTTTGCCACTTGGGATCCGTCTTGTCCATTTATTCCAAATTTCCGGAAAACCCTATAATCTCAACAGACATCTATCCCAAAAAACTCATTTCCTGTACAAGTTTGAAGAGGGCTTTTCTAGGACATGTGTTGTATTCTTCTTTAGGTTTTTCATAAATTGTTCACCTCCGTGATTCAGTGCTTCACATTCACTTGAAATATGATAAACTGCCTATTTCTCTTTATTGCATCGCCTATTTCATTCAGGTGAGTCGATACTGAGTCGATACTTGCTGTGTTCTGTTTTCAGACAATCACTAACTGAAGGTTTTCTCGTGTTCGTTCACAGTACTTTTCGGGTATATTATTGGCACATTTCCTGCTCTAGTTCCGTACCATAGATTTCGATACCTCCTCGGCTGGTTCGATGCCAATATATAGAGCTAATGATCCGTGTGTAGCACACTCATCTCTTTCGTTGCCCGTGATTCCTGAGTACCCGGACATCCAGTATCACTTCCAGTTTTCAACTGTATTTTCAGAACAATGTTAATATTACTCTTCGGTTAACCAATGCCCTGAGTGCAGTATGGTACTGACCCGCTCATGTCATTGAGACCTTGTCAACTGTAATGCTACGTAAACTTCTGCTACGAATACAGATATGTATTGACCGATCAAGAAGTTGTAATGTAACTTTTCCATCGCACAGGAATTTTTAGCTTCCGTCCTGTTTTTGGTGTTCAAATTGTGGATGTCCTTGTCTGTTCTCGAAATGACTGTTCAGCGTCATAATTCATTCCTTTTTTACAAGTTCTTATGCCTTATTTCCGCAGAGGTTACCTTTTTCGAAGAATTTGGTATTTAATTTAAATCACATAATGATTCATATATTTTCAGAACCATCAAAGTTGTCTGAAATCAATATATAACTTTTTTCGTCTATAATATAGTTTTCTACAAAAATAATCCAAACAATTTTTTTTATTGGAGTTACTGAACTTGGAAAATAAATATTTCATTTCAATCTACCCCGATTCTCATCACATGGTTTGCTCACTATAATAACAAGAATTGAAAATTGAAAGATTCCAAGCAAAGTTACTTCACGACGTTCCCATTGTTAGTACCCACAATCGTCTTCGGTTGATCACTGGACTTATTCCTCCGAGATCTGACTATTTATAGGTCATTCGAGTGCTTTCATCTATCTCCTCTTTCCTCTCTCTGCTTCATTGATTTAAGCTGGAGCAGACTGTTTGGCGCTAGTTGGTCGTGTTACGCTAGCTTGGCTAAATGCGTTGTTGGACAACACATATGCGGCTTCTTTGAATTTTCTCTGTATATCAACCCATTTACACGGGGCAGTATCTGAATCAGGAATTCAACCATCATCAATCGACTAGGAGACGAATCATCAAGACTCTAGGAGACCGTGCTTTTGGGCTCTGTAACATAAAGGAATGTTCCGAGAAGGAACTAGGCATTATCAAAAATGACCTTCAACGGAATGGTTAGGTACTTCAAAGTGATGATGGAAGAGACTTTGGCTAGAAGACAGCAAGAGCCTCACAAGGAAGAAAAGCCGCCACAACCAGTACTTGTACTTCCCTACATAAGAGGGTTGTCGGAAAGGATAAGAAGAATTGGGTCCAAGTATAACATCTGAACCTGCGCTAGATCTGGAAACACTATCCGTAGCAACCTCACAAAAATCAGGCCACCACCAAACGCGGACTGCGATTCCAAGAATTGCATTTACTGGATACCCTGCGAATGCGAAGAATCTTACATCGGTGAAACTAACAGGCCATTGGAATTTCGCATTGCTGAGCACAAGAAACACACACAGCGAGGAGAAACCAGCAAATTCGGAATGGCAGAGCATGTTTGGACTCATCAACATATCATTAAGTGGTTTCAAGGTGAAATCATACACAAAGAGGAATACTGGAGAAAAGCTATAAATGAGCTGAATACGACCAACCCCCGCCAAACGGTGGGCTCCAGCTAAAACCGATGAAGCGGAGAGAGGAAAGTCCAGTCATCACCCGAAGACGATTGTGGATACTTACAATCGAAACGTCGTGAAGGAATCTTCAATATTCATCTCTTGTTGATGATTTTTTATTTTCTTTTTTTGTTAATAGTTCAATTTTTAATTGTTGCTTGTGATTTCAGTTTTTTTGCTTAATATAATTGTTATTTTTTCACTAATCTTTCTAATGTTTATATATTTTTTCAGGGATTTCAAATTAACTTATATCATGTTAGACAATGGAAGTCCGAACTACTGAAATGCACCAAGAAACATTGTCAGCCACCTTCAAACATTCATTATAATTCTTTTAAATGGTGGCTATCAGCGTGATGCTATACGCCTTTCTTGCAGTAAATTTCATGACGAATAAAAAATTATGGCTCTAATAGTTTCGATATAATGAACATTTTATGTAACATTTCGATTCAATGATCACAATTTCATCTACTTCCACATTCAGTGCGAGTGGCTAAAACATGTCATTCAATATAAACTTAATTCTCCTGTCTTGTGGTTTACGTTTTGGATTATATAAAGTTATTATTTCAGCAAAATTTCTGACGATACATTAATTTGTTCCATTTAGGTTTCATTTAGCTGACATTTAGGTATGCTCCACGAAATGGAAACAATATTGAAAATTGTTTTTGAGAATTACCTCGTGTTATCTTCAAAATCACTATCAGTTCCACTTTTAAAGCATCTACAAATATCATTACTGTTTATAATATTTGAACTTCATTGGTTTACAGTTTCTGCAAAATCATTCACTCTCTATTAAACCTGGAAAATTCCAGACATCGCAGCAATCATTTAAATTATTTGAAGAACAAAAAGTAAATACGAACATAATATATTTTATTCTACTTACCTGTGGTATAGATGAAATGTGACATCGTTCTCAGGTGGAGAATATTTGTAAAGCTTATTGGGATCAACGATAGGATATATCAACGAGTTTATTTCAGAAAAACCACACACTATCAAAATTAACTTCACCCACATAATGAGAAACTATTTCATATCATTTTATGTCCGAGAATGTGTTGCACAGTAGGCAAATTTTTCATTTGTACTTACGTCAGTACTATCTGATGAAATGAGCACATATATTTAGTTCCCAAACTCGTGCTGATGAAATTATTGCTGTTGGAATGTTTTGAATTTATTTTTTCATTCATGGTAAAATGAAATTGGGAAATATACTGAATCATTTTTCGAAATGACTAACACTGTCAATTCGAGTGCATTTCTATATTTTGAAATAAATTGATTCATAAAACTATCACAGTTGTAACGGCTTCTTCCGCCTAGATCATTTGATATACAGTGCTTTTCAGATAAAAGTATCCACCTTTAATAACTTTTGTAATACTGGTATTTAGGAAAAATCCAAAAACACGTCAATTTATGTTGGAAGGGGCAAGCATTATGGCTTATTTAAACTTACTGGAAAAGCCACCCCCTCACCCCTAGCATCATCCCTTTTTTTTTANATGACTAACACTGTCAATTTCAGTGCATTTCTATATTTTTAAATAAATTGATTCATAAAACTACCACAGTTGTAACGGCTTCCTCCGCCTAGATCATTTGATATATATCGAAGTATAATATGAAACCCAAATACATGAATTTTATTTGATGAAAAAATTATAAAAAACTGAATTCAATGAAACATACTCATCTCGACCAATTTTATTGAAATTATCCAAATATACATCTATCTTATGTAAACTCCAAAAAATTAAAATATTTCATTTCCTCCTTGAAAAAATTGAATTATTTTAGGCTATGTTCATTATTTAGGGATTCGTTTTTGCCGTCTGAATACTACGGGAAGTATGTTTTGAAACTAGATTTTTGCAAGCTACTATTCGCTCAATAGAGCTGATTATTTTCAATTTTACACAGGATTTTCGGTCAGGAGCTCTCTCGAAAGTTTCGCTGAGGGGTAAGTTATCATAGAATTGGCTAACTATGTGAGTTGATTCGTGAACAATTGTCTGGTTTCAAAAGTTGGACAGTAAAAAAACTTTCTTCAATCAGAGACGAGTTTTCCAAATTTACTTTATAATATTGAAATATTATTATTTTCGGTATATAGAGTGTTTCCTAACTATGGTACGGAACTTCAGATGGTGATTGATTAGGTCGTTTGAAAAAAGTTGCTTCATTTCTGAGATACAGCGCATTGTAGTTTAAAAAAAAGTTTTTATGAAATATCATAAATATCCTTACACCGATTCGTTTGATATTTGCTACACTTAATTGAAGTTATAAGGAGCTTATTCAGCCTCGACTAGATTGAAATTATTAGGTCCAATGAAGTCTCAGTGGACAACAAAGCCAACAATTTTGGAAAAAAAAGTACGCCACTGACTAATTGTTCCAGATTCTCATTTTTTTTTGGTTATTCGAATAAAAAAATACTTTTTGTCGCTTGTGTTTTCTTCATATCTAGCTGACAGTGATAGTTCTGTAATATCAGTGAAAGTCAGAGTAGTCAATTAGCGAAAGCAGAAGAAGAATTTACTGATGTCTTAACAGAGTAATTACATGTGCTGCAACATTCAGAACACTGAATGCAAGATTATGTGAAACTGGGAGTTGAAAACAAATGCAGGTGGTGGAAGACCAGAAACTTCAACAACGCCGAAACTAAAAAAAGCTATACTTGATGCGATAAAAGAAGATTCTTCAAATAGTACCAGGAAAATTGCACTGCAGCTGGAAGCCGTATGGACAGTTCTGAAAAGAAACCTCCTACACCCATTTCACATACAGCGGGTCCAAGCTCTACTGCCACGGAAATTTCATCCAAAATTATTGTTTTGCAGGTGGTTCATTCATCCCATGGCACACAATGATAATTTTCCACCAAATATTTTATTTACGGACGAAGCTAATTTTTCACGAAATGCTTTTATGAACTTTCAAAATGACCATTTTTGGTTACTACTTATTTGATAAAGTCATTTCTAGCAACAATTTTTGCTAAACGTTTGGTTAGGAATGATTGGTGATTACCTAATAGGCCCATTTTTTCTACCAGCAAGACAGGTGAATACCACAGGGACTTTTTGCAAGATCATTCACCCATTTTGTTAGAAGAAGTGCCGGTACTCGTAAAAGGTAACATGTGATTCATGCACTTCGGGGCCCCAGTTCATTTGAGTGTTCTTGCTCGTCAACATCTCGACATCGCCTAACCCTAATCGCTGCAGGAACTCAAAATTGGCCAGTTCGCAGTCCTGATATGAAAATTTCAAGAACATCGATGATAATGAAGTGGTTTCAAAAACAGTTTCCGAAAGCATTTCCTAAGAATAAATCATGATTTTGTACTAGTGGTAGTAGATTGTTCAGCCAGTAAATGTTTTGTTATCAAATGTTCACACTAAAACAATCAAGAAAGTATGTCCATATAAACATATGAGTTATTTATCAACATACAAGTAGAATAGTTATGCAAGTTCGAGCTCAAAATTCCATGCTTTTTTGATAAAAGTTCATTCTGCAAATTATTACACCTTCGAGCGGGTTCTTGTGGAACATGCAACTCGAGGTAGGTAGTCAGATCGTGACGTTTGAAACATCAAATGAAAGCGAAAGGAATGCTGTGGTCATCAAAGCTGAAAACTTTTTTTCCAAAAAATAATCACTCCTAAAAATATAATCCCTTCAATTAAAAAAACATCATAGCTTGTTAAAAATTAACTAATGCGTATTTTTAATGATAATAGGCGGATCATAACATACAACACATCGTGAGAAAGAGAATTAAATGATGAATTGAGAAGAGAGATAACTCGTGCCAAGAGGGCGTCAATTCGTATTTTCATCAATAACAGTTGAAACGTGATGTGCAGCACATCAAATGAGAAGGGTATGTTGAATATATTAACAGAGAAAAACAGAGATCATTGCGTGTCAAGAATTCTCTGATCTGTATCTTTATTATCTGTACCTTTATTCTTCTCCATCCGTTTGATATTTGGTGATAGGTCTATCGATGGATTTGGCAATGTTATTGATTTCATAAGATCCGATGGTATTCTGATGATTTCTCTTTTAATTTCGAAGTCATAGAAATTTCGACTGTCCAGTTCCGCATTGAGAATACTGTTGAAGCCAGTCCATATTCAGCTTCTGGGTCCAATTGTGAAGGACTTGCCAAATCACTGCTTGCCGTTGATATTCGAATTGACAGCGTGATGATTACAGACATGACTGAGGCAAATTTTTTGACATCGCTAGTTTTATAGAAACACAAATGTTTACAGTACACATATATGATAACGATCTTTATTGTAAAAAAAAACAGAGAACACCACATTACATTTTTTTTGATAAGCTACCTAATGTATTCTTTCGTTCTTTCGAAGGTTCAAGTGTACTATGGTACGTTCTTTGACTGAAGGTTTCGAATGTGGAAGTTGATCCCGCAAAAACACTGCTGTAAAATGGAATATTTTCATTCGTTCAGCATACTTGAACAACTCCACATCAAAGAATGGTCTGTTGGGTAGCTGCAATGGGATTTAACACCTTCATAATATTGAAATATTTTGATGTGAGAAAGAAACAATTTCACATAGGATTTGATAAAGTCATACAAACTTTATGTTGACGTCATCAAATATAGATGATATATCGCCGATGCTGCGCTCAACACACATATCTACATCAAACTGAATTCCTAGAACTGAAAGATGTTGCTAGAGATGTTCCGTCTTTATCTATATTTTGGATATGATTTCAATATATCATCATTTTAATTTTTCTTATTCTGCTGTTTTCAGAAAGCGTTTTGTGTTCGATTTCTGATTTTAGACCACGATATTGCTGTGCTTGCCTCCACTTGTAACTATATCGCGCATCTTGCTAGATCAATTCCTTAAAGACAATGTGATCTGTTGCTCCAACAATACCAAGCAGACGATATCGGACTTCAGACGTACCATCAGATACCACAATTTTCTTGCAAACCAAATTTAAGAACAATGTACCATTCAGGCGGAATGGCTGTCTTTGTTCAGCTTTCACTGCCTGAATCACTGTGCATGCAGTTTTTGGCGAGTGCATTGGTTTGGGATGTGGGGGTTGAGCAAACCGATCATCGGATGCCTGCTTTCACGTTCCACGTAGCCCCGCTGGATACGGGAATGACAGAATCACTTGTGTTTCAGTTATTCCCTAACT